TGGCCCCGCAGGAAGGAGAAGGAGGGGCAGCAATCCAGGCCCGGCGGAGCGGGGCCACTGCGCCTGCGCGGGAGCCCTTTAAAGCGCCAGCGCCTCCGAAAAGGCTCGCCTCCCTCGAGACTCGGGTAACGGGAGTTACTTTTTCGGGACCCCCGCCTTCGGTCACGTTCCGGGTTTTGGAGGCGTTGCGCTTTTGTCTTTGGGCCAGAGCGGTCCGACTGGAGTCGCCTCCCAAGCTTGGGGGAAAGTTCCTTTTCCCCCCCCCCCAAGCTTGGAGGACGTTACTTTTCAAAAAGTAACTTTTTTTCCGGGAGCTGGGAGGATTGACGGCCACACGCTCCTTCTCCCCGTTTCCAGACTTGCAACTTGGAAAACTCGGTTCATTTCTCGCTCTGTATTCCGGTACCTTCGTACACTTGGAAAAGTTGATTTTTTAAAAAAAGTAATTTTTCCGAGCCTGGAGGCTTTTTAGAGCCACAAACCTCTCCTAATTGCCGGACTTGACTTGGAAAACTTGGTTGCTTTTTTGTTTTTGTTTTTTTATTATAAAACTTTTTTTCCAGCCTCATTGCTTGGAAAAAAAGTTTCTCTTCCAAGACCGGGTACCTTCGTACACTTGGAAAAGTTGATTTTTTAAAAAAAGTAATTTTTCCGAGCCTGGAGGCTTTTTAGAGCCACAAACCTCTCCTAATTGCCGGACTTGACTTGGAAAACTTGGTTGCTTTTTTGTTTTTGTTTTTTTATTATAAAACTTTTTTTCCAGCCTCATTGCTTGGAAAAAAAGTTTCTCTTCCAAGACCGGGTAAAGTTACTTTTGGGAGACTCTTGGAATGTCCCTACTTGACTTGGAAAACTTGGTTGCTTTTTTTTCTTTTCTTTTTTTGGAATAAAACTTTTTTTTCCTGCCTCATTGCTTGGAAAAAAGTTTCTCTTCCAAGACCAGGTAAAGTTACTTTTGGGAGACTCTTGGAATGTCCCTGCTTCAGGGTTTGGGAAAGTTGCTTTTAGGGAGTCCGACTCCCAGAATCTGATTTCAGACCCTGGAAAAGGTTTTTTTTTTTAAAGTACACTTCCCAGAATCTTCTGAGAATTTATGTAAATTACTTTACGTATTGGGCAACAACAAAACCAAGAGTCTTCTGGCACCCTTAAGTCTAAGGCATTTTTTTCAGCTGGAGGTTTTGTAAATTGCTCCTGGATCTTACACCCCAGAATTGCTCCCATCCTCTTGCTTGGGAAGATTTAATTTGGACCTAAACCTCCAAGAAACAATGAAGTTCCCTGGCTTGGACAAATTACGAATTTTTGAACACAAACTTCCACCTGTTTCCCCCCCTCCTCCCCGAACTTGGATGAATTGGTTCTTTTGGACAACTGTTCCCAGGATCCCCAGACGGTCTGGGATTTGTAGTCCTAGAGAGTTCCAAATTTAAAGGATAAAAGGGAAGAGGAGTCAAACAGGACCGGCTGGATGTTCGCTTCCTTGCGTGGGAACCTCTTCCGAATCTGTGACTCAGTGCAAAGCCGAGCTAACAGGATCATGGTATTTAATGTGCTTCTACACCTCCTACCTTTTTTTCTTGACAGAGAGAAGAGAGAGGGGGGAAAAGAGAAGATCCTTATCATCTTTAAGCCCCCCCCCCCCGCTTTGGCAGCAATGGGCTCAAAAGTTAAAGGAAGCCAGATTTTGATTGAATCTCAGGAAAAACTTGCAGTATGACAGTGGAACCAGTTACCTAGAGAGTTGGTGAGTGCTCCAACACTGGAGGCATTTAAGAAAAACCCAAGACACTGTAATCACCTGGCAGATATGCTTTGATGGTATTCCTGCCTTGAGCAGGGGGTTGGACTTGATGGCCTCAGCAGCCCCTTTCAACTTGATTATCCTATGATTCTCCGAAAATGCTTCCAACCCCCAAGCCCACCCCGCCACTCAGTGAATACCTGGCAAGCTGGCAGACATACCCCGAACCTATCAAAAGGGTCATCACTAAATGTAACGAGCGCGTATCAGGCATGATGTTAAACTGCATCGGAGCTGCAAATGTCAAGGCTATTCTTATGCCACTGTCAGGAAACTAGGCTTTTCTGATAGAGGAAGAAAAGTATTATGGAAAATGAGATAAATTATTTTACTGCAGACTCTACCAGCTTGGTGCCCTGCAGAATTTTGTTGCTGTGTATTAACTGGGAACACTTAGCTGATCCCTCTGGAAGGCAAGAGGTGACCAGAAACTACCTTCCTGGGGATGTAAAAAGGTCCAGTTGGTTTTCCACCTTGATGGCTGGAGTGGGTCCCACCCAGAGATCTCCAGAGTCTTCCCCGTGCTAACAGTATCATCAACATGCTTCGGTATTAAGATTATGAATCTGAGGATTGCCAGGAAAAGATCGAATCCACCTTGGGTCTTGGGGTTGTGACAGGATGAAAGCTGCCCCAGAGTTGTTGAGGCATTGTTATGCTCTGTTGCGTTGCTTGGACAGCTGAACCGAGGGTGTGGAACGGAATGTCTGCCAACAGTCCAACTGCTGCTCAGGGACCCAAAGCCAAATAGTCACACTTTAACCTTAGCGCACCAAGGCGAACTTGACATTTTTGCTGAGGCAAGACCTGTGTAGGTACAGGAAGACCACAGACACTGAGGGGAATGAGATACAGCAAGGGAATGGGAATCAGCAGGCAGGGGGAAAGGTAAATGGGAGAAAATTGGAGGGGGAAAACTGTGGTTGTCCGGAGTTGGTTGGACTGCATTAGCTACAATGGTTCTGGCAGAAAAGCCTTGCAGACCAACAAGAAATGGAAGGTCCAAGCTCCAGTTGTGCTGGGCTACAACTCCCACCACGGCCAGCGTTTTGGGATGATGGAAGCTGTGGTCTGAAACATTTAGGGGGCAACAGGTTGGGGAAAGCTGGTTTTCTCAGACAAGGAGAGAACTCCTAGATCACAGACACCACCTGAAGACACTAAGGACTGAACCTGGAACCTTATGGAAAACATCCTTGTGAGACTATAAGGGCCATGATATACTGCAGGGGTGGGAACGATGAACTCTGGAAGTCCCAAGTCCAGCTGCAAATAGTGCGTGCTGTTCAGAGTATTTGGACTGCAAATCCCTGCTGCACTCTCCATGCTGTGAACCTCTTGCCAGACCCATGGATAGAGACACCCAATGTGGCTCAACTGGAGAAGGGCTAGGCAAGCATGGGGACAGCTTCCTTTCCGAAGAGGAAGCCAGGCTGGAGCTCAGCTTTCCTCCAGGTGAGCAAAAACAAGGTTCTGCAGGTATGGCTCCAGAATGAAGAATTTTGCCATTTGCAGTAAAAAGAACAACAAAACCCATTGCCTATGAAACTTACTGATGACCTCAGGCTATTCTTTGACTCTCAGCATGAACTACCTCACAGGGTTGTTGAGAGGATGAAATATAAGAAAGCAGAAGAAAGATGAGTTGCTTACTCTGCCTTGAGTTCACTGGAGGAAATGTAAGATACAAATTTAACTAATAAATATACGGTTACATTTCAATTATAATTAAAGTCTAGTCTCTTTAAAGGAGCTAACCACACAGCACTGAAAAACATAGTTCTATTATCCCGGGTTTACTTCTGAGTTAAAGGAAGATAAAATGCAGAAGGAAAACATCAAGTGAGAAATATCTAACCCTTAAGTGATTCATTCATTTATTGCATTGAAAGAAAAAAAAAGAAAAGCCTTTTGAAATGTACAGCTTTGGGTTCCTAACCAAAACAAAATTGTTTTTAAACATTTAGAAATGTACAGCATCTCAAAATTATAGAAAGTTTAAAAATTCAATATTACCACTACACATACAGGCAGCACTTTCCCCTTCTATTTTACCCAGTTATTCAATGGCTATTTATTTTGTTTTAAAAAAGAATCATTTAATACAAAATGTTTCCGTATTCTGAAATTCTGATGTACAAATGGACCGTTAATCTGCTAGATCAAAGTATTACAACAGAATTTGGTGTTTTTTAATTGAAAACAGTCGTTGTAAACCATTTTTAGACAGTTTGCTAGCATTGTTGATACTCTTTTTGGTATTAAACTTTGGAAATGAACTCTCCCTCCTTTGTTTTATAAATACAGTACAGATCTTACAGTATTATATAACATCATGATGTGATGGGATCGCAACACCAAAGATTAGAGTGGGCATGAACTGCTGCTCGCTTCTTGGCCTCCAGAGGTTTCCCCCTCCGAGGCAGTGCCCAAGGCGGTTCATGCCATCTCTACCAGAGACAATGAGAAAATCCAACAGCAACTTCTCTTGTAAAATGTTTGTTCACTGCAGCGTGGATGATAAAAGTCTACGTTGTGTCACAAAGCTTTATTGACTTCTCTTTCTACAAATGCAGGAGGCAACCAGAACGTTTCCTCAGCATTCTTAAGCCTGGATACAGAATTGAAAGGGAACAGTCTAGCATCATTTCTGGAGTTCGCACATGTAGGTCACATTTCAAAGTACTCAAGAAAGAGCTACCAGGCTAGCACCTGAACTTGCTATTATACATTGCATTTTGTATTTTTTGAAAAAAAGAGCTCACATTGCATTGCCTCTGCAGTAACAAAGAATAATGAGAAAGAAAAAGGACAGGAGGCTTGCCTCAATTCCCTTAATCCAGCTAGATATGGGTACAGGCTTATACTGTGTATACACAGGGCACACAAGACTGATATATCAGTTTAAGTGTCTAAGATAAGCCTTTTAAGCAACTGCAGAGAAGACAGACTTCTAATAGTATTATTCTTCACAGTTTCATGGTTGCCAGGATCTTTTTCAAAACAGGCTAAGAGATTATTCTTAGAGATTAGAGCAGATTTATCTCCAGAAATAAGGTTACCTGCAAATCCAAATCCTCATGAACACGATCTCATGGTTTACAATCTAACCCCTGAAAGAGTGAGAGTGTAAGAGTTGTGCTCTAACGAATAAGAGCTCTCCTTGTTAGGCATCCATCCGTTTTATACAGGGGGGGGGGGGGAAATTCACACACAAAAAAACCCACAGATCTTTTTTAAAAAAATGTATTAAATATAATCAATAATTTTAACGAAAGGCTTTCAGCTGTATCGGCTGCTTTCGCTGGGACTTCGATTGTTAGAATAACTCCGGTCGCTTTCACTGTCAGAACCATAAGATCTACAAGGAAAGGCAAGACAAACAAAGGTGTAAACTGCTGGGATGTTTTCATTTGCATAATAGGCCTTTCACATGAAGCAGAACAGCACCAGCATACACTTTTAGATAAGACAGTGGCTACCACAGCAAGTACTGAGGTTCAATAGAAACTAGTACAAGCTACTACCCTCTCTTCTGTAAACATCGCAATGCGAAGATCGGTAAGCGAACGCTTACCGATCATCGCAATGCGAGTTTTTCCCTATCTAAACATTGCAATGCGATCGCTTTTGCGATCGCAATTGCGACATCGCTATGCGGATTCATCGTTAAACGGTACGCTCGTTAAGCGAGGCACCACTGTACACGAAAAAAAATAAAACTCCCCTGAAAATAAGCCCTAATGCATTTTTGGAGCAAAAATTAATATAAGACCCTGTCTTTATTTTTGGGGAAACACGGTAAGACATTCCTCCTCACCAGAGTTTGCTGGTGCTTTCTGCAATTTTTAAGATTGTCAGAGAACCAAAAATTTTAATTTTTTAAAAAAATTAATAAAAAAAAGGGGGAGAACGAAACTATCACAGGTTGTGACTAAACAGCAGAAAAAACCCAATCCACAGTTTGAGTTAATTTGCTTAGCCAATCACACAGGAGTCAGCAGAGAAAAGAGAGGAAATTAGTCTTGCACCTTGTAGCTGTTACACATACTCTCCTCCCTACACCTAATGCACTGGTCTATTGGTTTCCCTCTTCCCTTCTGAGGAATCAGCAGAGAGGGAAGAGAGGCAGAAGGAAGCTATCAGTAAGCCTTGTTTCCTGCTTGTTAAGGTAGCCCTACTCTAACCATGCTTCCTGCAAATCTGGACAGCTAGAGCAGACCTACAGAAACGAGGCTCACTGAAAACATCCTGCTCTCATGGACTTCCTCACAAGCTTCCTTTCCAATTAAAAAGAAAGCAAGACAGTTCCCAAAAACAAGAGGCTGCTGAAGATTTGTGATCAATGTACCCAAAGTTCTTTACTCCAAATTCTGGTTTGCCAATGGAAATAAATTTCCACATTCAACCCTCTCACTTCTCTGCTTCTCTTTGGTGTCACAGTTGTGGGAGGCACTGAAACTTCAGAGTCGGAACTGGACACCAGGGATGGATTTGCATGTTGTCTATAAGGAAGTCTGTTGGGATTCCAGATAGCAGTCTAGCAATTCTGAGACATACCTGGACCGCCTGTCATAACTGCGAGATCTGTGGTAACTGTCACTCCTTTTGCTTCGGCTTCGGCTGCGACTCCTGCTGTAGTAACTGTCATAGGTATAAGACCTGCTTTTATGAGTGAAAAAAAAATGGTTTAACAATGCCTGTTATTTCCCTAAGCAACTGTTAAAAATCAAGGCTGGATAGAAAACTGTTTTCATAATCTTAAACTTAACAACCAACTTCCTTCTGGGAAAAAAAAACCAATCCTTTACAAATATATGGTGCATTCTCAGTTCTCTCTTCTTGTAACAGGCATCAAATCTTGATTTACTTAACCAAAGCTAGCCAGTGGTGCCTCGCTAGACAGTTACCCCGCATGACAGTTTTTTCGCTAGACATTGACTTTTTTGTGATTGCTATAGCAATTCGCAAAACAGTGGTTCCTATGGGGGAATTTCACTGGACAATGTTTGGTCCCTGCTTCGCAAACCGATTTTCGCTAGACGACGATTTTGACAGCTTCCTCCGCACTCGCAAAACAGGTGTATTCGGGACCTAAGCTTCGCAAGACCCCAATTTAAACAGCTGATCAGCAGTTCGTAAAGCGGCTTTCCTATGGCCGATCTTCGCTAGACAACGATTCTACCCCATTGGAACACATTAAACAGGTTTCAATGCATTCCAATGAGGAAATGCTTTTCGCTAGACGATGATTTCGCAAAACAGCGATTTCAGTGGAACGGATTATCATCGTCTAGCGAGGCACCACTGTATTTGGATGTCAGGGTATTTTAAAACTGAGCTGTATTTAGGAAAGAATTTTAAAAAGCTACTATATTCACTTAGGTTTCCAGTTTCTCTCACTCAACCAATATAGACATATTATTTAATTGTACATTGGCTGTAAAGGTAGTAGCCTCAAATCCATCTAACCAGTGTACTGCTTACATATTCTTTTTATTAATACATTACTACACTCATTTTAAAAAGTGATCTTTGTCTTAGCTTACCTTGATCTACTACGGTGATCGTAAGAACTGCTTCTTGATCGGCTTCTACTATATGTTCGGCTATCAAATAAGAAAAGAATGACAGAATTCCTAGAGGTATGCTGAAAATGAAGTCGCTTTTTAATAATCAAAAAGACAATCCTAATCTTTATTTTTCATTAAAGACCATTATGATCATTCCCTTCAGCTGGCATAAACTTATTTACTGAATGTTTAAAGAAAGCCTGTCTATTAATCTACACACCATCAGAGACAGAAAGAAAACTAACTGTGGCTTTTGGCTGATTCCAACCCCACATACTAAATTTTGCGATCATTCTCTTTCCTACCCTTCCCTTTTCTGGCTACTTGCCTATGACTCCTGCCACTGTTATAGGAACTACTCCGACTCCTTGAGTGGCCTCTGCTGTACCATCCCCTGCTCCGGCTTCGCGTGTAGCTCCGCGACCTACAAATGTAAAGTGCATGCATTGAAAAGCTGTGCCGAAATGAGATCCGCTTTTTAAGTCAGCTCATCAGGAGAAAGGTGGACTATAAACAAGACAGATAAAGAGGATAAGATTTCCTGAGACGTCTAGAGACAAAGCAGCGAGCAGGTGTGAAGAGGAAATGATCAAGGAAGCACATGTACAGCCATGCTTCCTAGAAACAGCTACGCCCACCTGCCCACGTCACTCACCTGTATGAGTCAGTTGAGCTTCTGGAGCGACTCCTGGAACGACTATAGGAAAGGGATCTGGTTCTATGCCTGGAGGTCGGCTCGGACTGGCTTCGTGATCGGCTGCAGCTTCTCGACTGACTATTCTCTCGGGCGGGAGAATCCTCCTCGGAAGAGCTCTCGCGATTCCTGGGTCTCCGATTAAGCCGGGCTGTCTTTCTTACTTCATCAAACAGAGAACCCGGTCTGATTTTGTTTTTGCTTTTGATTTCTATCCTTAAACCTTGTGGCTTCGATTCAGAGGACGAGGCTACGCTTTTGGTTTCTGCAGAAGTGCTGGGACCTGCAATGGGGCCCACCTGGAGGTTCCCTACACCTTGCAAGGGTTTCCATTTATGATCCACCACGCTGCTCGGTGCACTGTCAGCCGTTTCAGTTTTCAACACACCTTCGACAGCAGCAGCAGCAGCAACAGTGGGAGCTTGAGATCTCTCTTTCTCTTTCCCTTGGTTGCCTTCTTTTGTTTCGGTATCTTCTTTAACAGCAACGCTCTGTTTTCCGCGTTCCATTTCAGAACTCCTGTGTCCCTTTGTGTTCTTATTAATTTTAATATCCTTTAAGTTCACCTTCACACTTACTGGACAAAGCTCCACATCAACCTTTACAGGGGAATTATGATCTGGAGTGCAAATCTCCATGTCATCCATCAGGGAGACATCCCCTTCGCTGTCATTCTTCACCTTGGTGGCCTCAGCACTTTCAGAAGGATCCATGTTTTTATCCAGCGCTGAAGAAGACTGTCCGCCATCATCTCTACTAAGTTGTTTAGCAGGGGATGTAGGACCTGCAGCTTTATCCGAGATTGTATTCTGCTTGTGGAGCTTTTCATCGTCCCTTTTTTCATCTTTCGCCATTTTATCATTTTCCACATTCTGATCTTCATTTTTATCTTTAACGTCAACGAGGATTGGCTTCTTTCCTTCACCCTTTGCTTCCGGCTTCACAGCCACTTCCCCCTCCTCCTCTTCCTCCTCTTCGCCAAACTCCAGCGGAGGTTGCCAGTGAAATGTTTCTTTTTGTTTCGGAGCCTTATGCTTCTTCTCTTTTTTGCCCTTGGACTTCTCTTTAGATTTTTTGGAGTGCCCTTTTTTGAGGCTCTTTTTGGAACCATGCTTTTGCTTTCTTGATTTTCCTCTTGCACCTGAATGGGAACGAGAGCTCTCCGTTTCAGAAAGGGAAGACTGCTTGTCTGCCTTCGGTACGCCAGAAAAGGAATCTAACTTTGTGTTACGCTTGGCAAGATCAGGATCTGTATCTGAGTCCGACGTGGCCTCGCCTTCCTCCTTACCAGAAGACAATCTTGACTCTTCTTTATTGTTTCTGCTGCCACCTCTCTCTGAATTCGATTCAGAGTCCCACTTACTGCCAGAACGGGTTTTTCTTTTCGCTTTCTGACCACTTTTGGGAGACTCAGATTTCTCCCTCAAAGTTCTTTTTCTCGAATGATCACTGCCCCCCTGTTCAGATGGAGGCTTTCCTTCCTGACCATCCAAAGTGGGGCTGCTTCTGTTTTGTTTCCCATTCTGTTTGTCCGGCTGCACCTGCCCTTTGGCTTGGGCTGGCTGTGGTTTTGCCAGCTGCTCACTATCTGTGGAGAACACGGAGGATGACCTACTTGCACTCCTTCCTGGCTTCGGAGAATTCGTGTCTTTGGCATAAGGCAAAGTGCTTTCAGAACTACTCTGCCTTTTCTTTGACAGCTGAGCATGCTTCTCTCTGTAGTCAGATTTGATTTTGCTTTTCTGTCGGTCATCCTCACTTAGAGAAAAGTAAGAGGACGACCCACTGTAGCATGACTGGTCGCTGGGGTATTTATTCACTGAATGGGATCTAACTGTTGACCGAGACCTTGAACTGGATGGACTTCTTGATCGTGAGTAAGACTTGGAATAGGATCTACTTCGAGATGTTCTGCTTCTTGACCTTCGCCAACTACGTGAACTTCTGTCACTCTGGTTTTTGGAATAATCACTCCGGTCACTATCTGAACTCTTCCGTCGCTTACTGTATGAAGAGGTGGAGCCACTGGCTTTGACACTTTCCACAAGGTAGGTCGTTTGAGTAGGTATTACAAGGGTGGTCTTGGCTTTCATTTCCTGAATTCGCTCATAGGATGGTTTCCATGGCTTTTGCCCAGGTTTCCATCTGGATGGTGGAGGACTGTCACTTAGGGGTATAACTGGAATACTTTCTGTAATCACAGGCTGTATCACCACTTTATCATTCTGTGGCAAGGCTGTTCTCACAGGCTCCACCTTAACTGGCGGGCATTCATTTAGATGAGCGGTAGCATTTTTGGGTGAAGTGGACACCATCTTCAGAGGCTTGGAAGCTGAGCTAGACCTTGATCTTGATCTAGATCTGCTCCTAGACCGAGACGACTTATACGCCATTCTTGACTTAGAACCTCTTCTGGAACCAGACCTAGATCTGGACCTGGAGTAGGATCGGGAATCTCTGCTTGACAAAGACAATGAACTTTGCTTATCTCTCTCCGATTTAGACCAGCTTCTTCTAGAGGAGTCGTCCTTAGAAGTTAGCGAGGAAGAATGAGATGCCCGCTCACGTTCACTAGGTGATTTCGTCCTTCTAGCAGAAGCAGGCGAGGAGTCCATTTCTGTGGAAGGTGACAATCTCTTCTTTTTAATTTGTTTGTGTCTCTTCAAATGTTTTTGCTTCTTGGCCTTCTTTTTGTGCTTCGCCTTCTTTTCTTTCCGACGTCTTTTCTGGTACCCAACATATTTTGCGCTACTTAGATCTGAGTAACCATTATGGGACCAAGACCTTGACCTCTGGGACAGGCTCCTTTCATCCCCCTTTCCTGGATCACTCAGCCTAAAAAACAAACCAGTAAAATAAATGGACATCCTTACTATTAAGTTTGTGGGGCCATATTCTTAAAACACAAATTCCATGGCACTTAGGGCACAGGTAAAGAGGTTCTTTTTACCCAAGGCAGAGAAATCAAGGTACAGAATACAGTCACATCAGAGTGAATAAACAGAGGTTACCGGATTGTCTACATATTTAAAGGGTACTTAAATGCAATTTCAAGGTAACATTAAATGCAATTTCAAGAATACAGTCACATCAGAGTTAATAAACAGAGGTTACCGGATTGTCTACATATTTAAAGGGTACTTAAATGCAATTTCAAGATAACATTTAGCTGCAATGCAAAGCTTTCAAGGAAGGTTCCCCTACTCATCCAGCCCCCAATTTCTCACTTGTACTATAGAAAAATTAAAGAAGCACATTAAAACACATCTAGACAGCAACTGCAACAGATGTCTTATGCCAGGGTGGGAGATCTCAGAAGGCTTGACCTCACCAACCAACCTGGGCCACATTTTCAGCCTATGATTTTTTTGCTCAGTGTAAACAGAAGGCCCTGTATAGGTATTTCTATTCCCACCCCATTTTCTCCAAAGTGAAAACCGCCACTCATGAAAACTCCCAGGAACAAAACCTGGCCATTTTCCCCACAAAAACAAGAGAAATACTCTGGACACCAGTTAATCCCCTAGGTGGCTATATGCAGCCCATGGATCACATGATGCCTACCCTATTTTATACTCTCTGTAGTTGACAGTACTTTAATTTTTCTACTGTGCTTTTATGAATGAAGTAGCCATATTAAAGGACAGGTGTCACTTAAGAGAGCTTTATGTTCTTAGCAAAATCTTACTTGTCCCCTTTACTCCATTTTTCTCCACTGGGTGGCCTGTAGGCTCTTAATCTCTGCATTTCTTCTTTCCAGTGTGGTGGAGTTTCACTGCTCCCATCATTATCAGATTCTGAACATGAGCGAGAATGGGGTGGTGTATGGTATCGCTGGAAAAATACATTCAATTATAAGATTGGAGCCCCAAAGAACTCAGAAAAGAGACTTTTACATGGGAGAACATATAGCCTAGCAATGGTGAAGCTGAATTAGCTAAATATTGCACTTTTACACCTACTGCGATTTTAAAAAAACTTAATCCTGCTTTTTTTTTGTCCCATATTCACTTCTTTATTCAGCTAGCTTTTAGCACACTATTCTTTCCATTAAGAGAAGCCTATCTTGCCATAAAAAAGATGATATAGACATTTAACATCATTTAATTGTTGTTCATTTTTTACTCTTCCTCCCAAAGCCCACGCTAATAAACAGCACGTGGCTGAATAGCTTGCCTGTATATCTTTAACCAGCTGATCCAATAAAAGACTACAACTTCCCTTTGGTATACTGATGCTGGTATACAAACTGTATTAAGCCTTGTACTAAAAAAAAAACCACCAAAGATTTTCAACATACACCACTCTTTTCCAGCATCAAATATTTTTGGTTCTTAATTTTATCTGGACCCTTGCCATTTCTCTGATAAACTAATAGGATTAACACTTAATCAGCATTTCCTCCATTCCTCTTACCTACCTCAAACCCACCATAGGCACACATGATTTTCTCCACCTTTTTAATAGACTGCCCCCACCCCAAGTCAAGGAGAAGCAGGAATTCTACTAATGACCATTGTTAACGAGCCAAACAGGCAAGACAACAAGCGGGTTGGCTCAAGTAAAACTCTCAGATAAAGTTACAAAGTCTGAAGTGAAAAGAAATATGAAGAACATACTATTGTGCCTCTCCCTCTGATTTTTCTTCCAGATTTAGAGACTGAGGGCTTCTGATCAGTCAAAACAGGTGCTACATCAAGCGGCTTCCTTAAATATTAAGAATGATGCAGATATAAGGAAAGCAGCACTGAAAAAAATATCAATCTGTTTTTTGTAATCACAAGGCAAAATAAGGACAAGGCTGAGCATGTGACTCAAGCAATTATGTACGACTGCCTCCCTCTGCTTTTATTCAGATGATCTACTGTTCAGTCACAAACACAGGTAGCACACAACACATATATGACTGTGGAATGTCTAAAAAGCAGCCTTTTCCTTTCCCAAGAATTATGGAATTTTCATCCAATATTTTAAACAAGCTTCTACAGCTCCTGATTTGGATACGCTGTCGCACTCTGGAGACCCACTGCGCCATCTGGCCGCTTGGACTGGTCTCCTTAACTGGATATTACAGGCTTGGCTGATATTTCCTTCCAAAGAAGGAAATCCCTTTATGGAACTGACTGTGTGCCATCTTCTTCCCTAAAGATGCTGGTTAGTAAATGAGTTTCTAATGAAGAATGGCTGCTAACGTTCCGCGAGGCAGCACTCCCTGAGGCCCAGAGGGAAACTTTCCAACACAGACAAGAGAACTTCCTGTGGACTGGACTCATGCCAGCAGCACCTGCTTCAGGACTTGTCCTACTTACTATGATTTTTCATTACCTGAGACAGATTTGCTGGGGAACTACTGCTGACATTAGAATAATCTGTGCTGATTATCAGGATAGATGGCATGCAACTACTGGGGAAAAGGCTGCTTAGAATTAAGAGTTAGGCCTCTTCAGAATTAATGAAAAAACAGTCCCAAAGTTAAGGATCTAGACCCAAAATTAGGTGGAGCTATGTTTCATATGTCATAAGGATCAGACCGGAGAGCCACTGTGGTGTACTGGACAGTTTCACTGCACTAAGGAGATCTGAGTTCAAATCCCTTAATCGGCCATCAGAACTCCCTAGGAGGTGAAAATAGTTAACAGCTTCTTGAACACCCTATTAAGATTGATGTAAGCCAGAAGTGACTTGACAGCACGTACAAGCCACAAAAGACTGGAGTAACTACAACTAACAGACAGCTGGTTTCACCAGCGGTATAGGCTAAACATTCTAAGAACTGAAGGCATTCGGGCTTTTTCGACATCTCACTGTTATTTGTGTGTGCGCATGCATTAAAACACCTGTGTGTGGTAAATTAAGAACGGAAGCTGAGCTAAATCAAACGAAAAGCTAATCCAGTCCAGTATTCTGTTTTCTCAGTTGCCAATGAGATCCCAATGGGCGGCCACATGAAAAAGTTATGATGACCAACATACACACAGTTCATGTTGAGGGCATCTCCAAATCTAACGGTGCCCCAAATGCAGGTTAAAAAACCTGGCAGCGGAACAATACTTCAGGACTGGCCTGCGCTCTGTGTCATGATTGTTTCTCTGAATGGCACTTTGTGCCAGCTAGTACAGTGGGGTCTCGACTTACGAACTTAATCCGTATTGGAAGGCAGTTCTCAGGTTGAAAAGTTCGTAAGTCGAATCTTCACTTCCCATAGGAATGCATTGAAAACCATTTAATCCGTATCTGCTCTTTTTGTCCATAGAAACTAATGGGAAGCTGCTATTCCGCTTTCTGCCACTAGAGGGGGATTTTTTCTTTTTTTCTTTTAACCTAAGATGACTTAGCTTTTTAAAAAAGGAAAAAAAGAGTTCGTAACTCGAATCTAATGCAGGTTAAAAAACCTGGCAGCGGAACACAATACTTCAGGACTGGGCTGCGCTCTGTGTCATGATTGTTTCTTTGAATGGCACTTTATGCCAGCTAGGGGGGATTTTTTCTTTTTTTCTTTTAACCTAAGATGACTTAGCTTTTTAAAAAAGGAAAAAAAGAGTTCGTAACTCGAATCTAAGTTCGCAAGTCGAGTCCATATATTCCTATGAGAGCGGTTCGTAAGTCGAAACGTTCGTATGTCGAGCCGTTCGTAAGTCGCGACCCCACTGTATTGGAAAGAAGATACCTGGCTAGATACAACTTTTTTTTTTCATTAAGGAACAAAAGATTTCTGTCCCTAAATGTAAAGTACAATTTCCCAACCACTGGGTATTATCAGCACGCATTTCCTCCCAAATACAAGCATGTGTGCATTGAGTGCCTGCCATGTATATATTGCAAATCAAGGGGATCCACAACGAACACTATGACCAGGAAACACATCTTCAGATCAAAAGTTATTGGATGAGAACATTCCCACTAAGGAGGAACATGGAGAAAAAAAAGAAAATTTGGCTGCATACGTCTCAGGTTCTGCGTTTGCAATGGGCGCATCTCTTCTCAGCAAAAATCTGTTTTCAGGCACTGGAGGAATCTCTTCAGGACGGACAACAGGTTTATCTCTCTTTGCATTCAAATCTACTGATTTGTCATTCGCTTCGCTTCTCTCGGAGTGGCTGGATGGAAAAAGAATAATTTTTCACACACCTTTATGGTACAGCTTCACAAGTTTTGGAAAATTTAAATGTGAGTACCTACGTGATGGAATACATCTCAGAGTTTAGTTTAAACTCTTTTAGCAAACCAAGGGTCCCACCTCCCCCACATGAAATACCCTACTAATGAATTTCCAAACAATTCAGTTAATGTTCACCTTCCTAAATTTAATAAAGTCTACACAATTCACTTTTCCAAATCACTCTTCCGATAACTACAACTGATTTGCTCCTTAGTGTGGAGATACATAAAAAGCAACAACATCACTTCAGAAGCTCTGACAGCCACAGAATTCTTTATGCCATTTTTACAGTTTCCAAAATGCATGACTGGAGGCTCGACTTGAGTTGGGGGAACTCCTTTCACTGTCATTAGCTTTGGTTTAATTGGCTAAGCATTTCAAAAACCTATTCCTGAATCCAGCAGAGATGGATAAACTTCCTCAGTCCTTCTAATGAAAATGTACCTTCTTTGGCCTGACATCCGTTTGTTCTTGGGTTCCTCCTTCTTTCTTTCCTCCCTCCTTCGCTTCCGTGACTGCTTAACTTTGGTTCTTCTCTTGCGTTTTCTCCTCCTGCTTCTCTCATTTTCAGATTCACTGTCTGACGACGATTCTGACGAAGTAGAGGAACTGCTGGTGGAGCTATCTGATTCTTCTGAGTGAGTGGAGACCCTTCTCTTCTTCTCCAGCACTTAGGGTGAAAAATACATTTTTATTATTGCTTCTGCAAAATGTTCATTTATCTGTTTATTGTTTTGACTTATATACCACCCCATAGTGCTTGGAGCCCTTCTCTAGGTGATTCACAACATAGGCAAGGAACATTCCTCCCCACCGCCCCAAGCAAACGGAGTACTTGTTTTAGCGACCTCAGAAGCATGAATGGCTGAGTCAACCTCGAACAGCCTCTGTGAGCCCTTCGCGATTGTACTCAGGTTGCAAACAGAGCCTTGATTACAGTACTGCAGTTTAACCACTGTGCTATGGGGCTTGCTCATTTATATTCATAATCAGCATGGATATAACCAGAGACATAATGAGTTACCTCGGGATTGTGATTTACAAGCTATAGCACACAAATTTTGCTGATAGTTAAGACAGTGTGGCAAATCATTTATTAGTTCTCCACTCTCTTCAATCTGGTGGAGGCTGCAGCTGTACTGCAACACTCACCAACCACAGCATGCATGGCCAATAGCCAGAAATGATGGCAGCTGTTGTCTATCATTTTCTGAAGGGCACCAGAGTAAGAAAGCGACCTTGTTTTGCAGAGCAAACAAATTCAACGTAGACAGACACCTCATGAAAAGGTCCTATTTTTACAGACATTTAAACACAGAAAAAGGAACAGTAATCCTTCAATCTGTTTTGTCATCAAAGCATTATCACTGAAATGGATGTTTAATTTTCTTACTTCCATTAATGTGAATGGATGAGCAGCCTACCAGACTTATTTAATTCAATATTTACCATCACATCATGTGACCACCCCCCCAAAAAGCAAAAAAGTGTGACCAAACTGTAAAATATGATAAAATGGATATATGATCAAAACACATATAGAAAGCACACTTTAAAATTCTAACGCAAACTGAATCCTGCAAAATTTATCGTCCCGATATGAATTATCTTTCTTCCTAACCAATGCAAGAAAGACTGTAAAGGCTTACCATCTTTGGCAGATTTTGTAACCAGGACTCCACAGTCAATAACTCGTACATCCGCATAGGGCCTACTGGCAGTGTCAGTTTTCAGATTCTCTATTTGTTCTATCACTTCGAACCCAGAAATAACTAATCCAAAGACAACATGTACACTGTAGAGATACAAGTTACAAACAGCATATTGGTTTACATAAAAGAAAACTTTTATTGGACTAACCTCTTTGTGCAGCTGATGTCATTCTCACAAAAGAACATTCAGCCTTTTTAAAATGAAAGGAGTAAGAATATTTTCATATTCTTGTATAAAATGCAGGTCAGAATTTCATACTTTGGTACAGCTGACCATTGTTTTGCCAAAGACATACACAGAGTCACACGTTACCTGATTTTAATCACACTGATGGATTATAACAGGCTTTTGAAAATAAGTATTTTTTTTTAATAAAAATACACATTTAGTTTTGTCCTCTGAAGATGCCAGCCACAGAGACTGGCGAAATGTTAGGGAAGAAAAACCTTTGGAACATGGCCAAACAGCCCGAAAAACCTACAACAACCATCAGATCCCAGCCGGGAAAGCCTTTGAAAATACAGTATACAGGTTTAGTTTGTTTCAGAAACTTTAAAGAAAGTGATATTCCAAATATTTCAGAGTTCAAGTTCTTTTTTACTTTCACTGGAAGGTCTCCTGTGCTCACCATATACAAAAAACACTTGAAATTTCTTGTGTACATAGCAATCTAAAATTGAGAAAAAAAGAACGATCCTCCTATTTGCTTACCTTGCTCTACCAGTGAAAAATTCACCCTTGTGTACATGCCTGCCCAGCTTCCCTATCCTACTTTTATGCGCTTTGTCCCTCTATGATATATCTTAAGGGGGGCGGGGGGGATGACTGGTCAAAGTGTCCTGTCCTGTCGATGTATAGCCTGTATAATTAAAAATTGTAAACCGCCCGGAGAGTGCTTGTAGCGCTATGGGGCGGTATATAAGTCCAATAAATAAATAAATAAATAAATAAAGTGTCCTGTCCTGTCATCAAACGCATTTCATAACAGGCCATGGATTTGCATCTGCACCTTCCTGATTAAAATTCAGTTTCCACTTGCCACATTATTGGGAGAGGCTTCCAGTTGACTGAGCTCAGATTCTTTTAATGTGCAAAATTATAAAGAAGTACTTCTTACCCATCAAGATGAGGAGCAGGCTTCGTAGTTCTGCTTAACATCAACATACATGAGATGATTATTTTTTTGTGAAAAAAACCAGGTGTTCAGATGAGGAGGTAAAAGGCAGAATGGTACATATAACAAAAAAAGTAAAGAAAGAAAAAGCAGAGCAGTTAATTTTGTACCTTACCCTTGTATGCATGATAAACGAAAGGACTAAATTATATTTTTAGTAGAGATTAACATTACAACATAAAGCCACACTTCAGTTTTTTGTTTTGTTTTTTTGGCTGATTAATATGAAAGGCATGCAGTGCATATAAACTGAACAACATTTAAGTTTCACCATGGCTGAAATTAGACACGTTTTAATTGGGTGTGCACATATTTTAACTACTGCAACAATGCTTGTGTTGTTCTACATAAAACTCAAATCTGACACATCACAATACATTATATACTGACAATATTATCATCACTGTACACTACAGCTCTTAGCTGTCAAATCTTTTAGACATAAGAGAGGCATAAAATCAGTTTCTGCAATCCAAATGGCGCACAGGCTTACAGTACAAACCTATAAATGCCTTCTCATTCAGGAAGTCCCACTAAGCTCAGTGGGCTACGACTGAAGCATGTACTGAAATGCCGTCTTTGTCATTTATTTGCATGACGTGATTGTGTGCTGCAATTTAACAGTCATATGCGCACGCTAAATTTAAATCTCTGGAATTCTGGATTAACTACCAGTATTTGCTGAAATACTTCTAGCTTCTTAAAAATAATGAAAATCATCATCTGAAACACCTGGAGCGTCTTCAAAATATTTCTGTTTTGGAGAAGGAATAGGATACTTTGGGGTAGGGTGGGGGAACAAAACACATTAGAACAACTTTCAAAATGATTTGTAGGCAGGCCATGACAAAATCCCAAGGGAAACTGAAGGAAGATCCAATCAGTCTACTGTACCCCAAACACTAAAAAGTATGTACTTCAATTCTAGAATAGCATCTGTTTCAACTTATTCATGCAATCTGTCTTAGTTAACAGAGGTTTTAAAGTTGGAACTGGAAGTAAATATGTTTTAAATTTAATTCATCTAAACATGGCAAAAGTCATGATTTAGCCCTTTTCACTCGTACAATCCAACAGTTATACAGGAAGCTATGTTCCCCATCTCTAAAAAGGGAAGTTCTACTCAAGCTTTTGAAAAGGAAAGAACCACCAGCTTCAGAGATAAAATTACACTCCCAAGTGTGATCCTGATCTCTTCTTGATACCACACAATTTATTTCTGTAGCTAAAAAAGAAACAAGGAGTGCTCCAGATTTCATAACTCTGATGAGCCTATGAAACATGTGGTCTATTACTCTAGGTAAATTGTGTATTCCTGTAATTATGTTTCCCATAAATTAGCAGGTTTGTTACCACGGGGATCCTACTCCTTGGCTGGTCCTGACAGCCGCATCAAAAGATCATTACTGGTTTGGGAACACTGGCTGAATGATGGTGAAGAAAGCCCTTGCCTTTTTTCTTACAAGAAAAGGAAATGTGGAGTTTGTCCATCTAGCTATACACATTCCAGATCTGGAAAGAACATTGGGCTGATCCATAAGCCAGATGGCAGTGGCATGTTTGACATGGAGAGGAGAAACCTGCACCCCTTTCTATTATGGTCTCGCTGAAATAAAAACAGAAGGGTTTGTGTTGCTCAAAGTTAACTTAAGGTTAGAAAACGAAAAGGCTGTATTTCATGAATGTTTTGAAAGATGAGGAAGTATCACACTTGATGCATATGCTCAGTTTTCACAGGAAAAAAAGTGAAGACGGAACATATACTTCAGCAACTCATGCATCGTAGAACATTCTACAAAGGAGGAACAAAATGGGTCACCACATTTACTGGTAGAATAGCTGGTCCTGAGTCACCTTATACATTTGTTCTGGTGTGATTACCATTGGGTCTAACTGCATGGCAATGTACAACCAACTTCCCAAAAGGTAATGCTATGAACTGGCTTTTAGTGAAATAATCAAGGTTGCTAGGCAGTTCTACAGAATGTGGGCCCACAAGTTCAAATGTTACTCCAACCATGGGATATATTCGGTTGTTTCAGGCATGTCCCCTGGGCCTCAGTTCCCATAACTATAAAATGGGACCAAGTCAGCAAAGTGGGTCTTAAGATGAATAAGACGTAACATCGCAAAGCAATTTGCATACTAGGAACTACCGCGTAGGTTACTGAAAACCTTGAATTGAACTCCTTAAAAAGTGACCAGGAGGTGCAGTAACTCAGAAAGAAAAAATCCTATCAGACACCAACCGTAAGTCTGAAAGCTAATTGCCCATTAGGAGTCACCATAACATATTATTTTTACTTAATCCATAGTTAAGAGAATTCTGTGTCTTTTTATTGTGTAGCCATACAAATATAAATGGTCAAAAAGCTAGTGTGGGAGACAAAACTGAACTGTGCCTTTGAACAAGTGAAAGAGTAAGTATTATCAAATACATTCCTCATTCCATGTTTTACATGTTGAACACCATGGAAATTTGTATCTGAATTGGTAGATATCTGGACAACCAAGGTATTTTTGACCAACATTATTTCCACAGGAAGTTTACTGCACAACCAGTTAAGATGAAAAGTTGGTAACAGACCCATCTCTCACTTTTTCAGAGCTGTAGGTATAATCTTCTCCTAAGGAAGAGTTTCTTAGAAAATGTTGTGTTCCATAGCCCTTGAAAAGCTCTTTTCCCAGGAAATAACTAGTCTTTTATAAAGCATTGATAAATTTGATAGTGCATCTTGAAACAGAACCTTGAATGAAGCTAGCTTATATTCCTGGCTTAAGAGTATTTTCCCAAAAACACACAGTCTCTTTCAAAGCTGACACTAGACACCCCCCCTCCAAAGAACTTCAACACCACAAGATTTAATGCACATATGATCAGAAAAGGACAAGAAAGACAGAAAGAGAGAAAGAAAGAAGAGAAAAAACACAGCCTTAGAGGAATGAGACATTACCTTTGGAGCGCACGATGTAACACTGTTTCTGTAAATTTTACACAAAAATGGCAAGAAATAAATTGTAGTACAATTCCAGACAAAATGGAATCTAAGTTTAATACAAAGTTAAAATATTTTTTCAAAGTGAATGCAGTTTTCAAAGGGTATGCAAAACCGAGGACATTTTTTAAAAACAGGGCTCTAAATTTTCTTTAGGTTCATATTTGGAAACTCACAGCACGTTCAAAGTTATACCAGGCAAGATATGTCTTGAGTATGTTTTGAAGTCTTAAGCCCTCTGCCTAGCAGAGCAAATTTATTCCTTCCTGTGTTTTCCCTGCAAAGAATGCAATCCCACATCTGTCTAGAGTTTAAGTGATTTGCCATCTGAAGGTAAACAGGCCATTCAACTTCTTTGTGACAGACCACTAAAAGGATAATATTCTAATTTAAAAAGTTATAAACAGGCCTATACTTTCACTGGTAGCTAAGAAAACTCATGTTAGGGTCTTTTTCGCTCCACTCCCGAAAAACAGACACAAAGTAGTACACAAAGTATTTATACGTACTTTCATTTCCATAGGTGTAACTCGCACCCAAAAGTCAATGAATGGGGGCAGGATTACACTCCCTGATCTGAACAGACTAGATTATGGGTTAGAAAACCAGTCACTCGTGTCTGTTCTTAGAACTCTGTAACTAGTATATAAACGCCAATGCATAGCCATAAACCCTGTGGACATCCTTCATCTTGCAGGTTCAGTACATCCCGATTAGTAAAAAGGCCAATTGCTACAAAAATTTAGTACCAGTGATGCTGTTCTCTTCATCTACGGAAGTAATGGTTTTTCAAAAAAAAAATTCCCATTTACTGTAAGACCTGCATTGCATGAAATCACAGAGACAAATGCTCTATAGAAAGTTAAGTGTAAGTAGGTTAATATTACTAACGATTCATTAATATAGTGGAGAAAAGTGGTGAAAAGGGCCAAATACACACAAAAAAGCCCTTATACATTGAGATTAATCAGTTCACAAAAGGGAAAATTAAAAAACAGTTTTGTCACCATAAATTCCAGATGCACAACCCCACCCCTTCACACTTTTCTTAGTAGAATTTTCCCCAAATGATAGTCTAAAGTGAGAAGTAACAAAGCTGAAACACAAAACCTACACATTCCCCAGTAAAAGTACCTCTATCACCTAAAAAAATTGCTTTACTTTTCCCAGCTTGTGTTTTAGAGGAAGATACAGAACAGGAACAGCTGCTAATAATTCCAATTACTCAGAAGCAAAACCTTAACCACATAAGGGTTGCACGTTTCCATAAATTCCCTTCTTTTACCTTACTGGGATAAATTCCTTACCAACTGAAGCCAAAAGGAACACCACAGGACTGACGGCAGACTTATTTGGGTCCATACTATCTCATTCATATGCTATTTCACTGATATCCCAGAATATTACTATAGGCATTTCAAGGGCTTGCAGGCACTCATGTCTCCTATGAACACAACCTTTGTCGAAGCTTTATAAATTAACTACTTTTGGAACTCTCTTCAATTCTCCTTGTTTTGGGTAGACAACAACACTGGCCTTATGTCCAGGGTGGGGAAAAGTCCAGTCCACACACTGTCTCTGGAGACTGGCCACCTGCCTTAAACTGTGGAACCTGGCCAGTTTACTGAAAAACTGCATTTCCTGAAATGCACAAAAGTACTGAAGCTCAGTCCATTAAACTGCAGCACTGAGACACAAAAGTATATAGAAAATATTACCCAGGATTTTACAGTCCACCTTAGGACGTGAGTAGAATTTTTTTCTATCAGAGATAGGACTGTCTATCCACAGACCCTTTACTTTCTCAGGCCTTGACCTTCTGGAGTTGCTCGTGAGGAATGTGCACCTGTGTGACCAAGGGACTGTGAAAACTCTCTAGAGCAGTGACAGTGAACCTTTTTGAGCCAGAGTGCCCAAACTGCAACACATGATCAACTTATTTATTCCAAAGTGCCAACACTCCAATTAAAAGTGCTA